TGGGGCATCTGGGTGGCTCAGTGGGTTGGGCCTCTGCCTTTGGCTCGGGTCATGGTCCCAGGGTCCTGGGATCGAGCCCCACATCGGGCTCCCTGCTCAGCGGGGAGCCTGCTTCCTCCTCTCTCTCTGCCTGCCTCTCTGCCTACTTGTGATCTCTGTCTGTCAAATAAATAAAGTAAAATCTTAAAAAAAATTAAAAAAAAAAAAAAAGAAATGGGACAGATTCCCCAACAATTGTATAACTCAGCTATCACCTTGACAAATTCTATGTGGATGACAAAATCACCTCCTTAAAAGCCAGAGCATACCCCACTAACTATGGGCTTGTGGAGATAATGGATGACTCCGCTTTCTTTCTTTCTTTTTTTTTTTTTTTAAGATTTTATCCATTTATTTGACAGAGATCACAAGTAGGCAGAGAGGCAGGCAGAGAGAGAGAGAGAGGAGGAAGCAGGCTCCCTGACAGGCAGAGAGCCCGATATGGGGCTCGATCCCAGGACCCCGGGATCATGACCTGAGCCGAAAGCAGAGGCTTTAACCCACTGAGCCACCCAGGTGCCCCGACCCCACTTTCTTTATGATTAAATTGGATGATGCACTTGGGGATGCCCCCAGCTCTTGAGACAAGTCTTTTCCTACTTGCTAGTGATTACTTGTAATTAGGATATTGGTAACTCCAGACCTCAAACAGAGAGGTCTTCTCGATGGTATTATCCTTTATTTATATTTATCCTAAAAGCCACCTCTATTGAGGTACAATGGCAAACAAAGCCTTTAGCCAAACATACAGCAATCCTCCTGGTAGGAGCCTCAAAGCTCACTATAGGACAGTCCCAGACTGTAATGACTTCACATGAGGTCCAGAGTGTTTTGGGGACAGAAGGCCATCAATAGATGATGGGAGGCAGACTTAATAAATACCAGGTTATGCTTAGAGATATGCCTGAAGTAATACTTAAAATCTGTCAGACTTTAAACCCAGCTACCCTCATGCCTGGACCTGTCCATTGTACTTCTGTAGAGCATAACTGTTAGAAGCCATTCATATTGTTTATTCTAATCAACCAGATGAAAAGATTCCCCTACTGAAAATACAGATGACAGTTGGTTTACTGAGGGCAATAGTTTCATGGAAAAGGGAATAAGAAAAGCTGGGTGTGCCACAGTGCTCACTCATGCTTTGCAATTGCCAAAGCCTTAAAAATTAATATTTATACTGACTCCAAATATGCTTCCCTAGTCCTACATGCCCACAGAGCAATTTTTTTTAAAGATTTTATTTATTTGTCAGAGAGAGAGAGAGAGAAAGAGCACACAAGGAGGGGGAGTGGCAGGCACAGGAAGAGGGAGAAGCAGATGGCTATGTGGCTTTAACTTGTGGCCATGGCTTCCCCCAGGCTAGATATAACAACTTCTCATTCCATAGTGATCTCAATCATTCTCAACAAATTCGCATATGGTAATCAAAATTTGAACAAATAACTCTTGAAGGGATTGTTACATATATGTGATACCGATGTTTGGATGAATGGACCCCTGATGATTACAATAAAATTCTAGTGAGGTGGTAGGTACCAGAAGTTTTAAAATTGTGCAAACCTGTTCCAGAAATTCCACATCTAGGAATTCAAGAAATGGTCATGAATGTGGAAAGAAATTAGCTCTAAAGATGTTCATTTAACAAGTTGTATAAAATAGGGAAAATCAATAAAAAACTTAAAAGTGTCCTACAATATAGAATTATGTGTTATGATTCATACACATGATAAAATGTTATGCAGCCATTTAAAGTATTATGAAAGAACACCTGACATGAAAAGTAGCTTCACAATATATTAAGTGAAAGAGGTTACAAAGTGGTATACATAGTATGTTTATATTATTAGAAAGTTCTTACATATTTTAAACACTTGAATTATGTGCACTTAATTAGTGGTATTACCCATTGAAGAGGGATTTCTTCCTTTTTTTTTTTTTTTTGCTTGTTCATATTTTCCAATTTGTTTGATTTAATTAAATTATACTAATTAAACATACCATGGTGCTTAAAAATAGATGCACAGGTTCTTTGACACTTCTTCGAAAAAGTGGAGCCTACGGTGCCTGGGTGGTTCAGTCGGTTAAGCGTAAGCCTTAGGCTCAGGTCATGGTCCCAGAGTCCTGGGATCAAGTTCCACATCTGGCTCCTTGCTTGGCGGGGAGCCTGCTTCTCCCTCTGCCTGCACCTCTCCCTGCTTGGGCTATTAAAAAAAAAAAAAAAAAAAAAGGAACCTAATCCCTCTCCAACATCATGACCCTAAACTAAAACCACTCTGTTAGCCACCTGAGTTCTTCACCTCTAGCAACTAAGATAATATGTATTTATTGCTTTAAGCCACTAGGTTTTGGAGTACTTTATTACACAGCAATAGGTAACTAATACACAATTTTCACAGTTACTATATTTGACCTATAAAAGTTTTAGTATCTAAGGTTAGCAAAATCTAGTTAGAACATGTTACAGAGTTCTGCTTTAACATGGTTTATGTCTGTCTGGGATCGTGATGAATTGGGAACTGTGTACGAAGTGAGATGTTTAAGAAAGTAAGGTCGTTACACTCTAAATGTCATTTTTTCCATTGGATAACTAAGACATACTTACATGAATGTGGTGCCTTGTACATACCAGACAAAAAAAGAATGAACCAATGAATGCATTTTTTTTTTAAGATTTTATTTATTTGACAGAGATCACAAATAGGCAGAGAGGCAGGCAGAGAGGGAGCCGTGGGATGGAGGGGGGCAAGCAGGCTCCCTGCCGAGCAGAGAGCCCGATGTGGGGCTCAATCCCAGGACCCTGAGATCATGACCTGAGCTGAGGGCAGAGGCCTTAACCCACTGAGCCACCCAGGCACCCCCAATGAATGTATTTTTAACTGTAGATCCAAAAATACAAAGTACTGTATACACAAGTGGTTAGGTGGTGGTTAAATGAAGTTCTATGGATTTTAAAGGGATGGATATTTACTATGGATGAAAGATTTGGAGAGAAAGTGGCACTTAAAATAAGTACAGGTAGAATTTGTTTTAGATTAAAATGATAAAGGGGGAAGGGCACACTAAGACAGCACAGATTCACATGAAGAAGCAGAATCAAATAAGGTGAGGACAGGACAGAAGATCTGTGTCAAGAACCAGTGTGTGTTTTTGGAAGTTGTGTTAACAAAATTTAAGATAATTTAATAGATGATATAAGGAATTTAGGCTTTTTTATCCTACAGGGCTAGAGCACTCCTTGAGGGTTTTTATATGTTTAAAGTGGCCTTCAGGAAGATTAATCTGGGCATGATGTCTCTGAGACACAGCAGAAGACTGAGGGTAAAATCCTGAAGGCCAAGTCAGTGGCAATGGGAACATTGATGTAAGTGCTGTTTGTTTCAGCAGCACATATACTAATCATGAGAGGGCCTACGATATACCAGGCATGGAGAGCTTTACCTGTATTATTTTATTTACACCTCCTAAGAACTCTTGAAATTGGTACAGTATTATATCCATTTAACCCATACGGTATATATAATCCATACAGTATTATATCCAGATAAGCCGCTTGCCCAAGTTCATACAGGTGTTTGATTCCTTGAAGCCAGGACTCCTACTATAGCACACCACAGGGAGGCATTTTAAAAGAATGAATATAGTAAATGAAGAATTAAGGCTTTGAGTAGAGAGGAAGGAGAAGGGATTGTGCTTTGTAAACTGAAACATTGTTACTATTTATTGGGTACCTCATACTGCCAGGCCCTTAACTGCGGGAGATGTTTTATATAATCTATAATCCAGTTTGGTAAAGTAATCCAGTATCAGTCCCATTTTACAAACGAGAAAGCAGAGGGTTGGTGTAACCTGGCAGTAGTTACCGTAGAAATTTGCTGAATGCTACAGCAATGAAGAGTCAGTGAGGATTAACACTCAGGTTGCTTCCTCTAGTACACACCAGCCTTCTAAGCAAGGACTCACCAAGGGGCACAGAGGCCTAAAAGAATGCAGGCGGAGAGATCAGCCTTCTGATAGCCTGTATAATGTTTAAGCCACAACTCAACTCTGTCGTTGGACCTGGCGTTTGTGAGTGATTCTGAACAGCAGGAAGTTGCCCAGAGTAGAGGAAACTGATGCTTTCGAGGATCTGCGTACCTGACCTTTGCAACGGGCTGCATGACCTCTGGAAAGTGACTGGAACTCCTCCGCCCCAGAATGCCCTCTGCAGAATGGGAGCTAGCAAGGCCCGCCTGGAAGGACTGGTGCGAGATCAAGTCTTAGCCCATGTCCCATGTACACGATTACAGCGGAATACACTCCCATTGTGGCGAGTATTAAGCCTGCACACCACATCTGTGAATCGTGCAGATTCCGGCCTTTGCCTCCCTCCATTCATCTTCGTTACGTGTAAGATGAACTACTTCCTTTGTGGACTTGAAACGAGTTACCGTAGCAACGGGGAAAAGAAACCACCAAGAGTTAAAATGCCGTTCTTGCTGCTTTAATTAGAAACCCTAAAAAGGCACACCCCTTGGACACTTGGTGTTACTTAACAATCACAAGGTGAAGAGGCTGCGGCGGTCAACTTGGGCGACGTCGGGAAGAAGTCATGCTGGCCCACATGCATTCTCCCCTGCTGAGCACAGCGCCGCCGAGCCGGAGAAAACGCTTCGCTCTGTGCCGCCGGGCACCCTGCAGGGAACCGACAGGCCGATCACCGTTCCCCGCCCGCGCGCAGGCGCTGGAGGAAAATGCTCCACTCGGTCTTAAAGAGATGTTTCCGCACCGCCGAGCCTCTTCTCCGACTCCCCAATCTGACCGTGTCGATCCTTCACACCATTCGTACTGCGGCCCAGGGGCGAGCGGGGCCGGCCGTGACTCGCCAGCGGGAGCCGCAGCGGAGGGGGCGACACTGCCCGCCGCAGTCGCAGACGGCCGACGCGACCGGAGCCCGGGTGGCCAGGGTGCTGGGCCGGGGCCCCGGCGGCTGCAGCCCGCACGCACCCGCGCTCAGATTAGGCGGGTGCGCGCGCGGGGCTGCAGCTGGCGCTGGCGACGCTTGCGCTGGCCGTTGAGGAGCCTCTGCGCGACCTTGCGCTCGTGGCCGCCGGGCACGGGCCAGTTGGTGCGCAGTTCCCGCTCGCGCCGCGTCCGACCCTTGCTGCGCCCGGCCCCGCAGGCCGGGAAGTCGCGCAGGTAGTAGTAATCCAGGCAGTCGTACAGCTCCTCCTCGGAGCTCACGGGCGGCCACCCCTCCGGTGGCTGCGGCGGGACCTGAACCTGAGCGCTGAGGAGGACCCGATCCATGCCGTCGCGTCCCCGGACCGCCCGCCCGCGCGCGCGCGCTCCTGCAAGACCGTGCCCCGCCTTCCGATTGGCTCTGCCCGCGGGAGCGGGGCCTCGGGTGACGTCACAGAGCCCAGAAGGAGTCGCGCGCGAGGGCCGGCGCTCCCTCCGCCGCGGCCTGTGGCGGTGGGTGCGAGAGGGGCGTTCGGCGGAGTCCGGCTGGGCACTCGGTCTACGCTGGCCCGAACTGGAAAATGGCCCCAAGTCAGCCGTGAGAGACTGCGTACGGGAAACCGGCCGCGCGCGTCTGGAGACTCTCCGCAGCCGTGAACATAGTCAGGTTGTAGGTGACGGAGGGAGTGCTCGGTGGTGACGTGAGGTGAAGCGGTCGCTCCTGTACGAGCAACTCTGGTGTCCCGGCAGCGCAGGGCCCCACGGCCGTCCACAGAGGAGACCGAAAGGAGGCCCGTCAGAGCGCTGCAAGCACTGCGGCCGCACGAGCGCGTCTCCTTTCCCTAACGCCGTCCCCGCACTCGAGGAAGGAAGGAATGATCTGAAGCGGGAGGCGATGAGGGGCAGCGAGAGATCACCACGCGGGCCCGCTGCGGAGCCGGAGGCCGCGCGACTGCGGATTCCTCGCGGGAGCCCAAGACCCCGGCCCCGGGGCCGCACTCGTTAGCTGGACGCGCCGGCGGCTCGCGGCGGGGGCCTGAAGGAGGGGCGGTGGCGCGGGGCGGGGGCAAGAGGACCCGGGCCGGGGAACTGCGCCCGAGAAGACCAGGTCTCCGCGCTCCGGGGCAGCCGCTGCACCGCAAGGCGGGAGGCTCCGCGCTCCGCGGCCCTCACGGCTCTGCGGCAACGCCCAGGGCCGATTCCCGCATTGCTGTCGCTCTCGGCGCCGCTCCCGGGAGTCACTGCGGCGAACGCCTTTATTGTGCGGAGGGTTAACCAGCCCAGATAATTCTCGTCCAACAAAAATTGCGGCTCTCCTCTTGGGGATTTTCTTTATAACAGATCAAAAATAATTCCCGACTTAAAACAAAACAGAAAACGCCTTCCCTAATACTCGATCTTGCAGGGTTTGGGGCCGGTCTGAGTTTTCCCTCCGCGCTCTGAAGCCTGCTCCCGGCTGGGGCGTGGCCTGCGTACCCGCTCCAAGGGCGGTTTCGGGGGTTCCTTAAATGAACGAGTCCCCGAGAGTGTTTTTAATAAAACGCCGAGAGGATTTTCTCATCCGCCCACGTCTTATATTTGCTATTGCGAAAAAGAGAAACTAATATTTATCGTTTTACTACTCTCCCACGCACGGTCTTTAAAAAAAAATCTCTCCGGAGTTTGTTGTTATGAAAATATTCAGATACCTCAAGAGTGCAGAGAATAGAACAATGAACCCCCGTATCTCACCACGCGGTTTCCACGCTTACCAAGATCCTGTCACGTTTGCTTTGCATATCCCTTTCTGTTTTCTTCTGCGGCGGACCTAATGTCATCTCACCCCGATATTTCTCAATATGAGCTCTAAAAAACTAGACCTATTACAGTTTTATCTTACACCTGACAAAATCAGCCAGTCTTGTTGTTAGCTCATACTCAGTCCAGAATCCCATTTCTCTGATTGTCTAGAAGACACCGGGATGCAGTTCAGAATATGAGCGAAATCTACATGAAGCTTGCTTGGAAGTCTCTCATGTTGTAGGGCAGTCTCCCTGTCCTCTTCATATCCCCTGACCCTGACTTGTTGCAGAAACTGGGTCAGTTGTCCTGTAAAATGTCCCACTTTGTAGATTTGTCTGCTTCTTTGTGGTGTCATTTAACTTGTTCCTCTCTCTTCCACATTTCCTGTAAATTCAAGTTGGATCTAGAGGCTTGTTTGTATTCAGATTCAATTTGGGGGTCAAGAAAAGTGCCTAGGAAGTAATGTGTGTTGGTATCACACCAGGATTTCCACAATAATTTATTGTCTCAGTTTTAGTGATGCAGGTAGTAACAGCCTTTCCTTGAAATTGTGAAGTTCCACATAAACTTTTATTTAATGATTTCATCTATAGTTCATTGCTTTATTTGCTATTATGTTTATTTGCTATTATTTCATTATAGGCCACAAAATATAACTTTCTAATTCATTCCTTCCACATTTATTTGCTAGAATTCTTTCTCTCATGAACCTAGGCCATTTAGTTACCCTGACACATTTTGGCAAGAAAGGCAAAACAAAATGTTTAATTCCTTTTCATTTTTTAAAGTTTATTTATTGGAACACCTCGATGGCTCAGTTGTTTAACCATCTGCCTTCCACTCAGGTCATGATCCTGGGGTCCTGGGATGGAGTCCCGCATTGGGCTCCTTGCTCAACAGGGAACCTGCTTCTCCCCCTGCCTGCTCTGCCTGCCGCTCTCCCTGTTTGTGCACTCTCTCTTTGACAAATGAATAAATAAAATCTTTTTAAAAATAAAGTTTATTTATTTATTTATGTAAGTAATCTCTACACCCAATGTGGCACTTAAACCCATGACCCAGAGATCAAGAGTCACATGCTCTTCCAACTGAGTCAGCCAGGCGCCCCTAATTCCCCTTTACAGATGGGTTTTCAGAGTTCTAACAGACTCTACCTTTTTTCCTATTGAGAATCATTATGAACTCAACTACCGTTTAAAAACACAGTGTGTTTAATCAATTTCATTCATTTTTACTCTCTTTTAATGGTCAAATTGTTCCGTCTTTGGCCAGTGGGAGCTCCTTCATGTGATTCTTACATTCTATTGGCATTAACCTAGTAGTCTTGGAGAATGCCTTTGTTTGTGGGTAAACCAAGATGTCCATCAAGGCTCATCCTATACATTGTATGCCCCAGACCTGGAATTAGCTATTTCCCCAAGGAGTCCTTGATCTTTTTATTGTAGAGAATGGATTTAGACACAACAATCTTAAGGCCTTGTATTACGTTTCTTGGTCTTTACAAAAACCCTGTGAAATATTACTGTCCCAGTTTTCCAGATTAGGAAATAATTTAACAACTTCCCTGAGGTTACATAACTAATAAAAAGCAGATCAAGGCTAAGAGTGAGATCTTCTGACCCCTACGTAACCGTTTCTTCCATTTTACTATGCCTCTTCATAGAAACTCCTTGTCAGTTCACAGATTGCTAAACATTCCTGCCCTCCTAGCTTCTGAGATGATACTTAAAAACAGGTGCCACCATCTGTCTTGCTCTCTGGCCCCAGAACTCTGAATTGATTCTGATGATATCATTGCAGTAAGATTTTAAAGTGGACTTTGTACCTTATGTAGTGGTTTGACTCCAGACAGGGGATAAAAACTAATAAGTGTGCTTCAGGACAAGACTTTAATTCCTCATGTTAGCATAACCATGTACAGTTTATAAAGCTCTGTTTCATCACTTTCTAAAGATTATTGCAACTACCTCATAGGGTAGTGGAAAGAGAAATGGAGATCCATCCAGGTCATATGGCTTGCCCAAGGCTTATGGTGGAGTGACTCCCTGCGTCTGCATTAAGTGACACTCATTCACAAGCTCAGAGCTCACTACGGCTTATATTCAACACTTCTTTCTCTTCCCCATTTATTCATGCATTTGCATTACTTGTGTATTTGTCTAGCTCCCCTATAACATTAGAAACACGTTTGCCTCCACCCCATCTCCGGCTCACAGTAGTAATAAAATAAATGCCTGTCGAATAAATACATATATGTATGTTTAAACAACCAAAACCATTAAAAGCTGTTAACGAAAATGAGCAAAATTTAAACAATAATTTAAACCTCATTCATTCAAAATATATTTTCTAAACATGTAGCATGTGCCTGATATTGTTTTAGACTTTCAGGATTAAAGTTCCCTGCTCTCATACATTTTATATTCTAGAAGAGACAGACAATAAAAAGTATGTAATATATGATCTCTCAGTGATAAGGCAATTAAGAAATATGCAGCATAAAAATGTCATGAATGTAATATTTTAGACACAAGGTTTTTTTTTGAGGTAATAGTATGGGAACAAAGGGCAAAATGAAGATGTCAAAAGTGACATGAGCAAAATAGTAGAATAGGAACCTCCAAACTCTTGTTCTCACACAAGACGTTAAAGTAAACAAACAAATTCAAAACCCAGAAACTAGCTAAAATAATCCTCTAGGAGTTCTGGTAAACAGTTAAAGTAAATACCCAATCAAGAAAAAGTCACATTCAAAACAGTAGGACATTTTGTACTATTTTTACTTGTCCTTGCCCCACATCATTCATGGCATAGCAATGGTCTTGACCTGAAAGAGGCAGCAGCCCAGTCCCCAATTCCCTCCTTCAAACCAGAGAGAGCAGAGCAGAACTTACTTTAACATTCTAAACTGCCGGGGGGCTGAAAGACTTGTATCTGCTGTGTCTCACTGAAAGCTCAAGTAGAAAAGTGATGGGCATGGCTCAAGAAAGCTGCAGAGGACTACAGACCCACAGATGCCTGAGGGAAGGGATTATAGGTGGAGATATACAATAGACTGTCTATAGTCTCAAGAAGCTGGATGAGACTCTGGAAAATTAAGACATTAAAAAGTAGACATGTATACAAGGGAATTAGTGAAGACACAAAAGCTGAGGGAAGACACATACTCAGAAGGGACATGAGAAGACTTTTGAGCCTTCACCTCGAGCTGATCTCAAAGTCTAGAGATGAGCCAGATAACTAGAGAAAGAATGCATAAGTGTAATACCAGTCTGCAAAGACTATGAGAGATGGGTTCTTTCTAATGCCCAATTTTCAACATCACAGAATTACAAAGGATATAAAGAAACAGGAAAACATGACCCATTTAAAGGAGGAAAATAAATTGGCAGAAAACATCCCTGACAAATCACAGCATCAGACTTACTAGACAAAGACTTAAAAAAAAAAAAACTATCTTTAAGTACAAAAAACTGAAGGAAATCATGAATATTATATGTGAACAAAATGAGAATATAAACAAAGAATTTGGAATTATAAAAAGGAACTAAAAAATCTTAAGCTAG